AGATCTCGACGTGAATCATTCTGGCAGAGACAGGGGTGGGTATATCCATTCATTCGCGAGTCGGAAACCCCCGACGCGAAAAAAAACAGAAATGACGTCGCGTATTCGTCATTTTATATCCAGATTGGCCATCATCAAAGCCTTCGCGCTCTTCCCATCGCCGTGTTGACAACTTGATAAATCCGCCAAGATAGAGTTTACTCGGGCAAAACACGTCGCGAGCGCGACCGCAAGAGCTGAGGCCGGGTCGCGCAGGCTAACGCAGGCCGGGCCGGCGGGTCCGGTGTGATCAGACAGGCTTATATATTTATTTGCTTGCTTATACACACTGGCGCACGCCCGGCCCAGTCCATCAGCCATTGTCCCGACAGCCTCATACGTGTAGCATTGTGTGAATGTCAATGTTGACAGAAGGGCAGCCGACACGGCGCGGAGCAGGCACAGCGAGCACAGCGGTGCGACGGCTCGGCCAGGTAAGACTTTATACTCCTCGCCGACCTCGCGGACCGAATCAAATAAAAAAAATAAAAAATAAAATCAGACCCCAGTTAATCACAAACCGACTTCCTTCCTTCCTTTCCTTTTGATAAAAAAAATTCATTGAATTACTTGTGCGATGATTTTCTCCCTTATTACTTTTTATCACATTCTTTTTTTGGTGAGGCAAAAAGTTAAGCTATCGCAACAAGTCAGGAAAAGTATCGCAAACCGGATTTCAAGTGCAAGTGTAGAGTACTATAGTTATGCTGTTCCACATATATGCATGAACATAGGGCCGGTTTGCCAATACTTTACCGTTTCGCCCCATATGGCCCCGCCGCGCGCCTGCCAGTGGCAACACGCCCACCCGCGCATGCGGTGCAGTATAACTACGAAACGCCAGGCGTTTTTATTAGCCACCTAAGCAACATTTCTCATTACTGTTTTTAAACGAGCCCGTCAGGGTCGTTTATTCCAGACACTACTTCATTTCATTAACCCTATAAGGCATGGTGTCGTTTTAAAAATACGTTCGATAAAATTGGCTCTATCGAAGCCATCTTTCATTTCCAAGACCATCTTATTGTCTGAACATGTTGTGCAAGTTCCTGCCGAAGTTTTAAGCCAATCGGTGGACCTGTCCGAACCACTCAGTTGATCCAATACCGTCCTAAAAGTGACAAATTTCGATTTTCGTTGCGCTTGCCTACAGATATTCACATACCGATGAGGTGAGGGTAAAAGTAGACGTCTACTAGACTAAAACTTAATGAAAAATGTTCGCTGAACGTGATCCGATGTTTAAATCTTTGCTCCGGTGCACCTGGCAGCTCTGACAGTAAAAAAAAGTCGAACGTCATTTTGAAACGACACCATGCCTTCCGGGTCACTCGACATCATCAAAAATTAAAAAATGATAACTAATCGACTTTTTTGGTTTCTGATGCTTTAATGATGAGGACTGAGGCAGTATCGAGTGTCGTAGTTCTGAATATAGAGTTTATTTGTACTATTTCAATGTTTCAACCTTCGGAGCGAAAAGCGCACCTTTGTGCAAATGGCCATTTCTGAGCGCAATTTTTCTCATGATGCATTCGTCATACGGTCTTACGAGGACACGAACTCCTAGTAAGTGTCCCTGAGATACTTTTGAGCGTGCATATGTTACTTTAGGGCACAGTTTCTGTGAGTGAAAGCCGTACAAAAGCAACACTTTGAACGATACCGTTGTCGTTTTAAAACGACATATGTTGTTTTAAAACGACAATGGTCGTTCAAAGTGGTGTTTTGGCCCGGCCTCCACTCACAGAAACTGTGCCCTAAAGTAACATATGCACGTTCAAAAGTATCTAAGGGACACTTACTAGGAATTCGTGTCCTCGGAAGACCGTAGGACGAATGCATCATGAGAAAAATTGCGCTCAAAAATGACCACTTGCACAAAGGTGCGCCTTTTGTTCCGAAGGTTGAAACATTGAAATGAGTACAAAGAAACTCTATATTCAGAACTAGGACACTCGATATTGCCTCAGAACTTATCATTAAAGCATCAGAAACCAAAAAAGTCGATTAGTTATCATTTTTTGATTTTCGATGATCGAGTGACCCGGAAGGCATGGTGTCGTTTTAAAATGACGTTCGACTTTGAGCGGGTTTTAGAGGCATTATCTTTGAGAAAAGTGTATTTTTTTACTCGACAAGTTTTATTCCTTACACTTTTCTGCATACATCCATGCTGAGTTTACCCCATATTTCTCGAAGATTTGCCGTCTAAATCGTTCTCTTTACAAACACCCGTCAAAAATGACCCCAAAACACCTGTTTTAGGGCCTTATCGGCCACTCGTCTTTTTAAATATTGACATTTTTTTGGTGAAATGTGATCATTAATCCAACGCAGACCAATCCTGAAATTTTCATCCACTTTAAAAACAAAATAAGAAATCATGTCGAGTGACCCGGAAGGCATGGTGTCGTTTATAAATGACATTCAGCAATCCTGAACCGTACATGCTAGAACACCCCACGAGGGCTTAAAATGCTTCTTAGACACTCCCTTGGTTGGCAGAACTCGAATATTCAACTTTGGTCAATTTGGACCGGCTCATGCCTTATAGGGTTAAAATATGGGTCCGTTTCGTAGTTATCAATAATTGCAATTATAAAACTTTTTTATTTATTTATTTATTGTTTTTGTAACTTGCCTATAAAGCTGCGCACGTCACATTTTCTTTTTCGCAGTGTGCGTTTTGGTCCGGGCCCGCTAGGTCGCGCCCGCGCCCCCCGCCGGGACCGCTTGAGAGCGCGGCCCCGCGGACCTCGACGAGGAGGCCACTAAGTGGCAGACAATCGAGCGCGATGTGCTGAGCTTGCGGAGCGCGCCCGGCCAGGTAGAAGCTGTGTGAGAACAGATCGGCGCCCAGCGGCGGGCCAATCTGCGTGTGCGAGAGGACGGGACAGCGCGGCGGGGACAGCAGCGACGTGTCACTCCGAATTGGCGTCATTGAGGTTGCGTTTTAAAACGACGTGGCACGACGTCGCGGAGGTCGCTGTCGATCGCGCTGCGAAGAACTTGCATTTTAGCATGCTTAATGGATGGGCGCTGCTGCGCGGAGGAAGGACTCGCGGCGACCCTTTTCGCACTTTTCTTGCGGTGGGTGTGGGTGGATCGTAAACGCGCTCTTTCGAGGAAGGTTGTTTTAGACAGCGGATCTGACTATCTGCATCGGGTCGCAGGGGCGGATTGAGGTCCGGCTGACAGGGGGGCGATGCACTGTCGGTTGCCTACATACAGGGGTTTGTTTTGTGGCACAACTTGCCTAACTTTCAGGCGGCTCTCTAGAGACGACGCAGGGGGGGGGGGGCCTTAATCAGCGCCTGCGGGGTTGTGGACAGCGGGACTGCCTACCAGCACGGGGTTGTTGGTTGAGGACACCAGGCCAGCTCATCTACAAAAAGCTGTCTCCGGTATTATTAGTGAAGCCGCAGCCTAATTGCAACTCGACTACTTTGCTCCGCTTTGCTCTCTGCTGCTCACCTCCACTTCCCGCCTCCGCTAAACCCAGCAAACGCACAACTATTCTGAGCGCAAAAATGTGTGGAAAACAACGAGCTAACAGTGGTAACTTCCCAAGTTGAGGCAGGGCGCCTTTGCTGTGTAAGAGAGAGCGAGCGAGTACACATCTATTGTGAGCAGAGAGCAGCGCAAACCGACCGGCTAGCAGGCCGTGGAGAATGGCGGGGAATGGCAACGCAGGGTGTGCCTGGCCAGGCCTGGCAGTCCGCGGAAACAGTTTACAAGTGTCAATCTGTCGCAATGAGACAGCTGATGGTTCCCCGGGGCAACACGCCATGCCGCGCCACGCCAACCCCTGGGGACGGCAGATTAGATCAGGCGCGTGACAATCCAAGAGGAGGGGTTGAATGGGGGGAGAAGGGGAGGGGGGGGGGCTCCTTGACAGCAATAACTGAATCACAGATTGTCCGCTCCCGAGACCGAAACTCAGGTCGAGGTGCGCGCAGGGAAGGCAGGGGATCCTCTATCACTGATAATAATTACTCTTATTTATGCTATCATTGATCGACGCCCAAAAGTCGACGTGGTTTGAGATTTCCCGTCCAGATTTCTCGGGCGGATGTGAACAAGGCGGGCCCGGTCCGGGTGGTGGGGTACGGCACCCCTGGCCCCTGGCTGCTCCCATTCCCTTCCCTCCCCGCCTCAAGAGCTCTCCAGGCGCTTACGCTTAGCCGTCGAGTTGACACCCCTGCCTCGCCCCGCCCAGCCCCGCCCCGCGGCCCACAGTTGGGCCTTTTCCCTTCCCTTTTCTCTCTCCCGCGTCCTACTTTTTTCCGCGTGACAAAAGTCACCGCGACACCCCCCCCCCCCCCCAAAAAAAAAAGATATAGAGTCTTACACCATACGGCTTCGCAGCAAAACCGGAAAATGTTTCGATAGATGTTCGCTTTGCAAGAGCGACATATCACTCAACCAGAAGAGTGGCGCACTTGTCCGAGTCCAGAGGTCCGGCCGGAGAGGGTCCGAACGGCCTACAGACGCGGCGTGAGAGTGTAAGTGCTGCACGCCCCCAAAGAGGTCCGGAGCCCGGAGCTGCACCGCGACAGATGTGGCCCCGTTGTTGCCCCTCCCCTCCCCGCAACAAGTGGAGAGGAGAGATACATCATGGAGCTCCCTTCCTTTCTCTCCTCAAGGGTTGCGCAGAGGGGCCGCCGGGCGGGCCTGGCGAGCGAGCCATAGTGTACGACGACAGGAAGCCCCCGAGCTGAGCGGAGGCAACAGGAGGGAAGGAACCCTTGCGAACATGCCAAGGGTAGAAGGGGAGAGGAGGCCGCCACACAAATTGGTCTGACGGGCGCACTACTAAATGTTTTTAAAAAAACGGCCCCAGGAAATGTTAGGATTTTAAGCACGACATTTGCTTGAGACAATTTTCTTTTTAAATCGTTGGATTAGTTTTGTAAAATTTCCCTGTCTTATTTCGAGTGCAGGTCCCTTGAACTCACCTTGAGCCTGATGACGCTGGCCGTGTCGCCCTTGTCGTCCAGGAGGCGACGCTCCCACAGCAGCCGCTGGAGGAACAAGTCCAGGGCGCCGCGGGTGAGCGGGGCGGCCAGCGGCAGCGTCACGCTGCACACGTCCTGCGGACAGGGAGAAGACCCTTCAGAAGAGCCGACGAGGTGGTACACAAGTTAGAAAGATACAATACACACCTTGTCGAGATGGGACAATTTTTGAGACTCCTGAGAGGAAGCCAAGAGTCGCTCGATCCTGCAAATAGAGTGGAAGAGAGATGATAAAACCAGATCCATATTTAGGATTTCACTGAACAACTTTTTAAGACAAACTCACCGCTCGGACCCAGACCCACTGTAAGCTCGGAGATCCAATATTCTGTCGAGTGACACCCTGAATGAATTAAAGACAGACATCAGTAGTAATTAGTATAAACAACTAAACAAACTTTATGATGAGTAACAACCTTTCCTAGCTAGATAGACTTACTTGGAGTGTTGGGTCTCAATAAGATCAACAACACCATTCAACGCACTAGAGAAAAAGAGAGCAAGATAAAAAAAATTATTAGGCATTATTTAACACGTTGAGTCCCACGTGACCACACGTATGGTCACAATAACACATGATTGATACGCCCCCTGGGACTCAACGTGTTAATGGATTTAATTGATTTTGAAATATTGTACATGTGACTTACTGTATGACATCTTTTGTTTTCTGCACAATTTCTTTTGAAGCTAGGTCAGTCTTGTTTAAAAGAATAAGGTCAGCCAAACAAACTTGCCTGAAACAATTTTACAACATAAGAATAAAAAAATTGTGGAAGAGAAATAGATACAGTTTGCTTCTTTTGTTAAATTTTCTAATAATTACCGAATAGCTGCATTGCAAGGCTCCCCATCATCGAAAGTATTTGCTTTGTCATCAATTTGCTGTGAAACAACTCCATATTAATGAACACTTAGATATTAGACCCAAACCACTACATGTATAAAGAAAATAAATATAAATATACCTCTAGACAGTGATTAGCATCAACTACAGTTATTATTCCTACAATATAAAGAAAGAGTGAAGAGAATGGGATATGATACTTTGAGTCAAATAATTTCAAACTAGTGCAGTGCACTTACCATCCAAGAATATGTCACTTCCTAACTCTTTATCGAGCCAGAAAATTGTTGCAATAGGCCCTGCAAGCAAAGCATGGATGTTAAAAGGTTTCAAATTTCTGAACAAATACAGGTAAATACAGATGAAATAACGTTTACTTACCCGGATCTGCTAAGCCTGTCGTTTCTAGTAAAATGTAATCAAATTTTCCCCGTTTGGTCATCAGGTTCTCTATGGCTTTTACACCATTATCCCTAGAAACATCAAGTCTTGTATTACTTCCTACACTTGGTTGAATAGCACAGAAAGATAGTTACAAAAGATGCAAAGTTATCTTCATAACAAATGTACTTACTTGACCGAGCAGCACAAACACCCGTTGCGAAGCTCCAGCCACTCCTCATACAACGCTCCTTCATTTCCAACCGAGATACTCTTTTCTAGTGCACTTCCTAAAAAAGACAAAGCACAATTTTCAGTTAAATAACAGCAATATCTAGTAAAGCATTGAGGCAGTCAAACCCATAGTGCTTTGAAAGCAACTAGAGGGCACCAATGTTTTGTGAGCTCACCCTCTCCAAATTCATTTAAAATGACTGCTATTTTCTTTTCACTCTGTTCATGCAATATGTAGTTGAGGAGTGTGGTTTTTCCAGCTCCTAGATATCCAGTAATGATTGTTACTGGCACCGACTGGAATGTAGCTGGAACCAGTTGAGGAATGTCATCGTCATCCATTTTGATGTATGAGACACAACGTTGGGAAGTTATTTAACAGTAGAAATGTAAATTTTCTAGTCGTTGGAGTGAGACATTGGTGCTACAATAGAAGACAACGCAAAAATTAGAATCTACCCCAACCTCACTTCGTTGTACTGACAGAATCCACCGCCAGCGTGAGAATAAGCAGATACTCTTATTCACAGTGTGAAGCTTGAAGTCGAGTATAAAACCAAACGCCAACATTAGAAGGCGCAGGAAATCCGCGTCGTTTGGAGTTGGAAAGAAAAGCCGGTTAAAAGGTTAGTTAAAAGTAGGCTCCTTGTTTTAATTCTCTGCGTGTCTTATACCATCCGTATTATCAGCTTTTGTATTTTTGGCTCTTTTCAGATTTTTAAATTTGTTTCGTTCGAGACCGAGGAGATCACACTTTGCCTTGTTTACTGTCGCGTCCTAACCCAACTGACCCAAGATGTTGTCTAGGGGTAAGTACATAGACATTTGAAATGCTTGTCACGAACTGCGCTATTCCAAAATAATGATTTATTATGCGATTTGCAAACAACTCGTTGTGCGTCGCGTAATGTGGTTTGATTCTACTCTGTTTCCTGATGTTCCTGACTCAGTTCGTAAAATTAGTTCTTCTCTTTGTTGCCCCATTTTGTTACACCTTAGCTAATATGGTTTTAATTGTTACTTCCAGGTTCTATGAAGGATGTGATTGATGTCATGCAGTTGCAGCAATCTAAAGGTCGAGAATTCCCCCCTGTTAAGTACAAGGATCGTATTAACAATTTTACAGGCGCTCGTTTTATTTTCGAATGTGGTAAGTAGCCAATAAATGTTTTCATGCTGTCAATTATAACTCAAATAGCACACTCTAAATGTTAATTTATCAATTTTGAACTTTCTTTACAGGTCTCAAACTTAATGCTCAACCTCTCACTATTGCTAGTGCTGCAGTGTTGTTCCACAGATTCTTTAGAGAGGCAGATATGAATTTATATGACCCCTATGTGAGTAAAATTATTTTAAGTAATTATGAAAACACAACCACTCCTCTTCTTTTAATTATTATAGGTCAAGTATCAGAATGTGTAATTATAATTATTATTGTTTCCTTTGTCAGCTGTTTGGAGCAACTGCATTGTATTTAGCGGGTAAAAGCAAAGATGATCCTTTGAAACTCCGTGATGTCATGAATGTGTCACACAATACCTTAAACCGCAACGCACCACCACTGGAACTTAATAGTGATTACTGGAACTTACGAGACTCCATAGTGCAGGCTGAACTCTTACTCATGCGGATGCTGCGGTTTGAAGTTACACCAGAATATCCTCACAAGGTCAGTAATCTAATCAAGAACCCCAACTACAAGAATGTGGTTCATTAATACTAAGCATTTTCATTACTTTTTTCAGTATATGTTTCACTACCTGAAAAGCCTGCAAGGTTGGTTTGAAGCTGATCAATGGAGACGGATCCCTCTGGCTAAGGCTTCGATTGCCTTCTTGCAGGTATGGCAGTGAATGCTCCAAATATGTAGTGAATTGCGTTACTTCCATTCTCCAAATAATAATTGGGGAAATTGTTCCAGGATTTCCATTTGGATTCTGCAGTGCTAGACTATTCTCCTCAGCATGTGGCTCTGGCATGTATTGGTCTGGCTCTGCAATGCTATGGAGTCACTGTTCCCTTGACCAATGAATGCGATGGACCATTCTGGTATTCTGTAAGTATTAGCTTGGGTTTCTTTTGATCAAAATAGATTGGTCACAAATCTCATGCCTATTTCATGTTTGTCCAGGTATTTGCAGAGGATTTGAACAAAGACAAAATGTGGGAAATTATGGAGAAAATAATGGCTGTTTATGATAAGGAAACTGAAGTACCTACCTGAATTTTTAGAGTTCCCATGGGATTTACCTACACATCTATCAACTATTCATCACTGATTTCTGGAATCAATTTAATTATCCAATGCATTTATCATTAAAACATTAAAAACCCACTTACTAGTCCCATTATTTTCAAAGGTTAAGCACCTATTGACCTATCAAACTTCATTAAAAATTTGGCACTTTATGCAAATTGGATGTTAACAAATTTATTACATTATAAAAAATAATACTTGTGTGGAAATTGTTAGATAATAAAAACATTGTGTACATAGTACATAAAAAAGTAAAAAATTTGTACAACAAATCACAATGGGCTAGGTACTAACACAAGGAATTCGTCAAGACAGAATACTGAAACAAGTACTGGTTGCCTTTTCAGTGGAATGATGCATACCCACTAGATGCATTCTGATTCTCTTTGTTGCTACCAAACCGCTTTCTAAAGATGCTGAGACGCTTTGAAGTAGGTGTTGCAGGAGTAGAAATCTAAAATTCAGATAATTTTAATATTAGACTCATACTCAAAAGACACACAAACAAAACTATTTTAAAGACAGTGTTACAATACCTCTTCTTTCTTGGTGACTGGCAAAGTAGCAGCGTTAGCAACCTTGCTACTAGTAAACAGGGCCCTCAACCTGCTTGGAGTGGTTTTAGCAACGCGCAACATTCCTGTACCCTGCGATGACATTGACTCATTGTGCTCACGAAGTGCAGCTACCCGCGGTGTCAAATCTTCTTTTCCCTATAAAAGAATAGAAAAAGAAAACAAGCTGTCATTACAATTTTATATTTAATGGACACAAATGTTTGATGTTCCTACAATAACAAACCTTAGAGTAATTTAGATACAAGATATTTTTACGACTGCAATATCAAGAACTCAGCTTACCATTCACATAAGCTACAAACTTACAGATTCAAAATTTACCATCTAGCTAGCACTACTAGACCAAAACATTAAGCTAAAGGGAAAAGAGGTATACACACAAATGAAGTACTCACCTGAAGTGAAAGTCTGCCAGCTTTCTTACTAGGAGTGGGAGGACCAGGTCTTTTATAAGAAGTCTGCAAAGTAAACCATGCATTTATGTCTAAATACAATATTTACAACCCAAATAATGTGCTGGTAGGTGCTACAGTAGATCTTTTCTAAAAGTGTGCAACAAAGAAGGTTTTGCCCTGCTATTCCCCAAACAAAAGAACACAACCTTCCACCACACTAAACAACTTGGCACTGGTAATGTACCGGTTGATAATTGTTTCTAAAGGTGCGAAGATAAAAGGGGTGCTAAGAGTAATTTAAATTTTGTAATTGGGGTTTCTTAAGCTTTTAGGAGAAAGTTGCTTATTTCAATAGTATTAGTACCTTCAAGTTTGTGTAATATTCTCAGCAGAAGTTGTCCCTCAATGTTTAAACCAAAGCAGGTGTCAGCAAATAGGAATTTCCACTTTTGGCAGGAGAGTGTGGGCAAGCTCACATAATTTTCCAGTACCTTCTGTTTTTCCAAAACGGGACAGCACTCTATCAACAAGATTGCCTTTGAGTTCCAGAGTTTGCCCAACTTGAGGTGACAGAGAATCACTCTGGGTTTGATTATTTGGGAGAGCAGTCTGGTTCAGTGATTGTAGCAAGTCAAAGTCATTGTCACAAGATTTGATGTTGAACTGATGAAAACTGTTGTGACTTATCAGCTTTGAACCAGTTTCATGGCTGGAACAGAGATCATAGCCATGTGCCATTTTTGATTCTTGGGCTTCAGTTAGTCTAGTTTCTTGTGCTGGAGGTTTAAGCAATTTTGAACCAAATGATTGATTCCACTTTACTTGTCGGGCAAGCAATCTCCCGTCACATGCAAGTCTCTCAGCCATCACACTTCCTGGGCCATGACCATTTATTGGTAGTCGTTGAAGCTTAGCAGCTATCCTCTCCAAGCACTTCTGGACCTCAGGAATTTTGTTTCTTTTCTCCCATACTGAATTGGGCAAAGCGTGATGGTGAATATCACAAGTACTACTGGTCCGTCTTGACCTTTGGCTTGAGCCTGGGCTTTGTAGCTTGGTAGGTTCATTGCCCAATTTTAAAAGCGGGCTTTTTATCAACTTAATGCGATATGAATCACTACCCTTTGATGTTTGTACCTCAGAATTCTTTGAGGCCTTTTCACTTCTCCTGCAACTGATTGGGTTAGCAACAACTTTTCTTGATTTTGGCTTGTCATAGGGTGTGTGTCTACAAGATTTGGTATAAGGGATCAAAGGGGACCGTTTGGCAACAACAATGTTGCGAGGAGATTTTACAGTACCCCGTGAATTACAATCCTTTTCTGTCAAAACCTTGGCACTTCTTGTAGTGATCTTTCTTCCAGGCCTCACAGTTTGACAATACCTCTGACTTGGTAGGGAGTATTTTCCCCGGAGAAATATTCTAGGGGGGTTCTGATATGCAGGAGTTTGTTCCAATCTCAGGAGACTTCTGGGCTTATTAGTCAGCAGCTTTGGAGTTGAAACAGATGAGTAAACTGAATATGGAGACTTCACATATCTGTTTTTTGGAGACTTCAAGTTCATATGATCTGTGACAGTTTGGCTCTTGCAGTAGGGAACTGGCTTCCTCATCTTTTCATCCAACACCCTATGTTTCAAATGATTTGGCTTTTTTGACTGAACATCAATCCTTCTGGGGGTTTTGAGCTTAACAGGTTTATGAATGTTGCATTTCAGCTTTTTTCTATGACAGCAAGTTGATAAAGGTTTAGATGGCTTTGCTTCAAATTTCAGTTTGCAGTTCAAGGTTGAACTTTGATGAACTAGTTTGTACGATCTCATTGAGGAACCCAAGCTGATTTTTTGGACAACTTGATGATTGTTGTGAGGTGGGAAAAACGTTTTGTTGACTAGGGGCAGAGCATTAGAGCAATGTTCCTTATTTTCATACGAACAGTGCAATCTAGGAGGGGGGCAAGAAGTTTGCTCAGCATCTGGTTTGTTAACTAACGTATGATGCTTTAACATGGTTCTTATGTGTAATTGAGTGGGGTGAGTAAGTTCCCGAATTTCTGACCAACAGTTCCTTTGTCGAATAATTGATCGACGAGCTGGTTTTGGTCTCACTAAAACATGACGTAATTGCAGAAGCATGCGTTTCTGCTCTTGTACAGTCTGCTTTGGCCAATTGAGAAATGCCCTCTGAAAATGACATAAAGTTCGATGTGGAAGATGCAAAGGTGAGATGTGCAGGAAAAACACACAACTATGCCCATGACCATGCCAATAAACTAAAGTAGGAGGCTATCTAGGTTATTTACTTACTGTCTGCTTGTCTTTTCCTTGTCGTCTTAGTCTCCCCTCTGCACCCTGTAAGAGAGAAAATTAGAAAAAAAATTAAATAACATTTTGATGTCCTGTTTTTTTTAAGGAAAAAAATGCAAATTGATTGAATGTTAGTAACCTTAATGTCTTCATCTTTGCACAATTGAGGATCTTGAAACTGAGTTTCTGCAGGATAGGAACTTTTCAAGTGAGGGGGGCACAAGGAATTTCTGTACTGAAGTTCACTTAATCGGCTACCATCAAGAGGAACTCTGCACTTTCCTTCCTTTAACTCGGCTAGGTAATCATTGTTGAATACTTCGCCATCTTCATCTTCTTCGGGAAAGGCCAAACCTTAAGGAAAGTTATTATGGTAAATATTTTATGAACATACTTTGAAACAAATATGTGCAATTTAAAGGTAAAGACATTAATATGTATAATATACAAACCCATGGATGCAGGAGCCATCATTGTTGACCTTCTTGAGGTATTCCCATCTACTTCAGGGGAGATGTCACTCACAGGATGTACTTTGGCAGAAGCAAGCCCCCCCTGGGTAACTTGACTGTTGCAGCGTCTTTTAAGCTGCGAGGTCGAGCTGCTGCTATAAAAGAAACAATAATATTCAGATATTACCTTACTGTACAAAATAAAGAGAACACAAAGACTAAAATATGTCTACTCACATTTGTTTACTTCCTTGTAACATCATATCCAATCGGTCCAGAGATTGGGTGCGCTGCTTTGACATTAAGTATTGACGCTGACGCTCCTTCAAAGCCTCCAAACGTTCTTTGGCATTTTTGTGATCTTGTTGCTCTTGCAACAACTTTTCACCCAACTTCCACAGTTGTGCACTCAGTTGTTGCACATGCTCTTCAAATTCAGTAATTCTTTTGTTATGTTTGGCAACAATATCTTTTTCTGATTTTTGTTTTTCTTCTTCAACTTTATTAACTTCATCTTTGACAATTTGTTTCATTTTTAGTTTCATGTTTTCAAGTTTGTTTGAATACTGCACATGAAGCTCTTTCAGCTTTTCTTCAAGTTGTTCATGAGTTGGACGGAGCCTTAGATCACTTATTTCTGTCTTCAGCTTCAAAAGTTCATCGTTATTAGAGTCTTGAGTGACAGTCATCTGAAGCTCCTTTAGTTGACTGCGCAGGTCGATTATTTGTTTTTCAAGTTCTGAGTGAGAACTTTCAAGGAGGTGATAGCCCTCTTCAATGCTAGAAGTGTCGCCAAACCAATTCGATTTCACTTGGGACTCAGCTGTCAGCCTACATGCTTTGATTGATTCAGCTGAAGATTGTTTGAAAGGTCCAGAATTATCATTTTGAGATGAATTTTCAGTGGAACCATCATCAACGGTATCCTTACCAAATGACGTCTTTATCTTCAAGGATTCACGAGTTTGAGCTTTAAGATAGCTTTCACATCTTTCTATCAAGAACTTGCAGCTATTGATAACAGACCTAACATCACAAGCCAAAGATGACATACCCTCACATGACTTTGAAATCTTAGCTTCAATACTATCCCGTTCAGCTAACAGGGAAGAATTTACTTGATCTTCATTCAAAGTCAGTTCAGTTTGCTTCTTACTGAATTTAAAGATTTCATTAGCCAGAGAGATGATGCCACATAAACTTTCAGCATACTTCTTATCAACAGTTCGTAATTTCATTTCAACTTCTTTTCTCATGACAGTAACTTCATGAACAGCATCACAGTTGGGAGGGAGCACAGCAAAGACATTATCGCACATGCAGCTCGCTTCTTTGATAATCCCTTGCAATATACTGAGGTGGTCTTCTACATCCAGTTTTTGGTTCATCATTGTGTCAAATTGGAATTCTAAATGATGTTTCATACGATCCAATTGCCACTGACTTTCTTCTTGTTGTGCCTCAGCTATTTTCCCTCCAGTGTGAGGCGCTTTTAACTGCTGCTTCAACTCAACAGCTTGCTTCTGATAACTCTCAGCTGTAGACTGAGCTTCAGCTAAAGCTTCTTTCAATTTTATCTTCTCATCTTCAAAAGTTTTTTGAACTTTACGTAATTCTTGGGCCATCATTTCTGAAGTGGACTGGGAAGAATGCAACTCTCCTTCCAATAGTTTCATTGCAACATCCAGCTCATCACTTGACTGTCTTTCCAGGGATGATGCTGTTGCTTTTTGGCAATTGATTATTTGCTCTTTCACAGTGACCAAATCTCTAAAATAGTCTCTCTCCACCCTTAACTTTTCAACACAAGCTTGTGTTTCAGAGAGCAATTCTTCCTTCACATCAATGGATCCCTGCAACTCATACATTTGGCCTAGAAGTGCTTCATTTTCTTTCCCTGCCTTTTCTAGCTTGTCTTTTAATTGCTGAGACGTAACTTGGAGTTTCTGTATCATGTCTTCACTTTTCTTAGATTGCTGTAAGGCACTCTCTTTCATTTCACACAAGCTTTGAAGTCTCCTTTCTGCCTCCGTAGAAACAACCACCTTTGCTTCAAGTTCCTGTATGGTTTGAGCATTTACACTGATACGTTCTTTGAGAGATTCAACTATACCCTCAGTGTTTCTAAGTGTGTTTGAGTAGTCACTTACCTCCTTTTCCAACAATTTTTTTTCAGAGGCAGCTCTTTCAACTTCATTCGTAAGAGCTTCTATCTGTTGGGCAACATCTTGATTGATGTTAGCAGCAAGATTATCTTTTTCGGATAAAACTAACTCCAGTTCTTTTGAAAGCTTTTCTTTTTCTTGTTCCAATAGCAACATTTTTTCAGTGTAATCTGAAAGAAGTTTCTCTTTTGTAGAACCATTAGCTTGCAATTCCTTAAGAAGTTTGTCTTTTTCCTCTAAAGTGCAGAGTAAGCTTTCTTTCAGCTTCTTTTCAGCCTCAAGGCAAGACAATAAGGCCTTCTTCTCAGTTTCAACTGATTCCACCCACACCAGTGCCTCTTTCTTATCAGCTTCTGCTTTGTTGCAATGTTTCAATGCCTCTTGTTTTTCACCTTCTGTTTCATTGAGTTGCTTCAAAGCTTCTTCTCGGTCAACTTCAACTCTCTTCACTAGCTCCAATGCCTCTTTTTTGGCATTTTCTGCACTTAGAAGCTGTTGTAAAGCCGTTTCCTTGTCAGCTTCTGCTTTTCCAAGTTGCACAATTGCTTCCATTTTGGCACTATTTATGCTTCTAAGTTGCTCCATAGCCTCTTCTCTTTCAGTCACTGCCTGTTTAAGTTGCTCCAGCACTGTTTCGTTCTCTCTTCTTAATTTGTCAATATTTCCCAAGGAAATGTTATGGTCATTTTCAGTTTCTTTTAAATGTTCAAGTGCTTCTGCTTTATCACTTTCTGCTTTTTTAAGTTCTTCTAAAGTTTTGTCAATCTTATCAGATAAAGCCTCTATCTCACTAATATGCTTTGCAACTTCCTCTTCAAGAGCAACATTCTTATTTCTCAGGATTGCTGTCTCTTCTGATAACTTTTTCTTTTCAGTTTGTAAAATGTCACAGCAAGTCTGCAACTCTGTTAAGTCTTCTCTCAACAAACTTAGCTGTTGGTACTTCTCATCACAATCATTTTGCAAGTCTTTGTTTCTGACTGTAAAGTCTTCCTTTAATTTTTCCATATCTTGGAGAAGGTGTTCGATGTGTGATGACTTTTCTGTCAACTCGTTCTGCTGACGGGAGTTAATGTTTCTCAGGTCATTAAGTTCTGATTGAACAAGGGCAAAAGCATTCTTGAGATTGATTAACTCATTGGAATTTTCGTCTTTCTCCTTTGAAACAGCTGTGAAATTAACGAGCAAAGATTCTCTCTCACTATTAGAGGTTGCCAAAGCTTTTACTGCTTCATCAAATTTGTTCTCTAGATCTTTCTTTTCATGGCTGACAGACTCGTATTTTACAAGTAGCTGGTCCTTTTCAGTCTTTAGAGAAGTAAGCTCACTTTTTATGCAGACATTTTCTTGAGTGGTAGAATTAAGGCTGCTAACATAATGGCATAGGTCATCTTCTATATCAGCCTTTTCGGCTTGGAGGTCAGAAATGGTAGAAGATTTTTCTTCACACTGCTTAAGCAAACTCAAAAGTTCATCTTTCACTTTGGATATTTCTTCTTGCGCTAATTCTAACTTTCGGTTGACTTCATTAAAATTGTACAACAATTTATCATTTTCAGCTTTCTCATTTGCCAGAACTGACTCAAGGTCATTTTTGCTTCTAGAGAGCTTTGAAAAATCTACCTTCAATATTTCCAGCTCTCCAGACTTTTCATTTAATTCTTGAATCAAATTTTCATGGTCTTGTTGAGTCTTAACAAGTTGAGAAGAACATTCTTGCAGAGCATCTTCAACCTTCATCTTTTCTTTGGAAATTGCAGCCAATTGGATGTCAACAGCTTTCTTCTGCTTGGAAATTTCTGCCAGGTGATTACTCAAGTCATTTTCTTGTTGAGTTGATATGGAGAGGTGTGATGTCAACCTGTCATTGGCAGCTAGGGCTTCAGCTAACTTGTCTTGAATCTCTCTCTTTTCTGTTTCTTCCTTCAGAACAAGTGATTTGGTCTCTTCCAAACGCTTAGTGGTTTCTTCAAATTCCAACTCCCATCGTACTTTTTCTTGAAGAAGAGCAATCTTTTCAGATGCTATTGAATCCTTTTCATGAGTAACTTGTTCAAGGGCTGCAGTAAGATCACCTCTCTTTCGACTCATGTCTTTGAGTTGCAGTTCTATTGACTTTTTATCATCTAGCAAAGTCTGAAGTTTATCTTCAAGAGTCTTCTTGGTTGAACAAGAATATTCATACTGCTTCTCTAAGTTTTCATGAGATTGTTTCAGAGCAGTTACCTGCAAGCACAAATTGATCATTGAAAAAGACAGGGTACAAGAAGTAGGAATAGTACATTACATAAAAAGTTTCAAATCCTACTGACCTGATCTTCTAGATCATTTTTCTCAAGCTTCAGAGTTTTGGCATCAGTTATCTTTTTCATGGCGTCATTAAGCTGTTGTTCAATCATCTTCTGTTCTTTCTGTGATTTTTTCCAGTTTACTTCCATGTCATAAAACTTATGAGTCATAGAATCCAAGTCAGAGGCTCGCTTCTTGGCTAAATCAGCTAATTCATTTTCCCGCTCAGCAGCTATAACCAGTTTGGCATTCATCTGTGCAACCTAAATGAAACAAAACAGAAGACTATTATTGACTTTCCTAAAGCTAACATTTTCATTTAAAAGGGCTAACTACAGTCAGAAGCATCTTTTTCACACCTTCACTTCAAGACCATATTTAGAGTCCTTAAGTTCTTTCTGCTCAGACATTAGATTCACTTTGGCAGTTTTCAAATCTTCCAGCTGAATGCTGAGTTCATCTTTCTCCTTGGTGACTTCCAACAGAGCAGAATTTATGTCATCCTTTGCCTGCTTACACAGAGAGAGTTCTTGACTCATTGAATTTAAATTTTTCTCAAGCATTTCCACCTTGCATTCAAGTTTTTTCTGGGCACGAGAAGCACATTCATTTTCATTTGATGCTTTCTCCTCCAGCACCTGATATTCTTCTTTCAATCTTTTCAGCTGTAATTAACATTTTAATTGATTATTTCTTTTAGAAATTGCACTATATTCAAACAGGATGCCAAATAGACACTAATTTACAATTACAGACATACCTCTTTTTCTGTTTCTTTCAAAGTGCTATGCAGTTCTTCATTTTCATTTTCTTTCTGAATCATTTGTCTTTCCACAATAAAGCCCAGACTCTCCGGAGCTGGTGAGCCTGCGGGTGTACGGACAGGGCTGTCAAGAACTTGTCTTTGTGGTGAAAGCATCTTTGATAGGTGCACTTGATTAAGGTCTCTTTCAAACTTCGAACACTGGTGAGTGAGCTCTATATTCTCATCTCTTTCTTTTTGTAGCTGGTACAGAGAGAATAGGATAGAATATTTTAATCATCAAAGAGATTGAAGACATTAACAACCTTTTGATTAACACTTTCTGAAGTTACTTTTAATGCATAGAGACTAACAGGGATCAAAGGCGACTCACCTGCTCTTTCAGTTCACAAATTTCTTCTCTGGTAGAAGATAAAATGGCTTCCATTTCTGAATACATTTTCTCAGTCATTGACAGCTGAAAAGAATTACAAAGGAGAAAAAGTGTAAGAATTTCAGATATGTTAGAATATGATTGGTCATGACCTGAGGACCTGTCACCTTATGAGTAACATCCTCTTGAGAAGTCCGCAATATTCCTATTTCCTCCTCCAATTGCTTCACGTAACTTTCTGAGTCATTTAGTTGTTGTTGCAGTTTACGCCTTTCAGCCCTCTGATCTCCAGTCTCTTCACTAAGAGCGACCTCAGCATTTTTGAAACTCTCCTGGAGAGATTCTAGTTCATTTGATTTTTCCTTTAGCTTCCTCACTGAAAATTGTAATAAAAGTTCCACTTTCAAAGAATAAAATACATTTATGATTAAAGTAGCATATAAATTCACAGCCACAAACCTAATTCAACGATCTGACTATCTTGATGCTCAACCTTTTGTTGCAACTCTATTTTTTCTGCTTGTTCCTGTTCCAGGTCAATCTGCAATGAACTTATGCGATCTCTAAAAAGTCCAGATTTCCGTTTGACTACAGGAGACTGAAAGTAAAAATGACAATACGAAATATTAAGTCAAAATTAACTTAGTAGCATCCCTTCATAGTTATAGTCATAGAAAAAATGTCATACTGAAAGAAAATCTGCCAGACCACCACTAGTTCTCTTAAGGGTATTAGACACAGGAGACTTTGGTGTTGAATTGGAACTGAAAGATGTCCGTACTGTCAGAGGAAACAAGAATTAAAATTTGAAAGAAACAAAGATAATTAAACAAAAAAATAAATCATTGATCTACCTTGACCAGAAGGAGTGCACAACAATAGTTCACTTCGCTTCAGCTGTTTTCCGTAATCCATGACCTTTTCCAGGAAAGATACCAGTAACTGTTGATCATTTTCATCTAAATTTTTAGCTGCATTTTGTTGGAGAGTTTTACAAGGTTGATAGATAGATGCATGTAGGAGTAGAAGGGAAGAAAGAAGAAATAATTCTTCCTCCATGTCCCAGCATGTGTCTGTGGGGTCAGCAAGCTTCTCATCATATTGAGGATATAGACCTAAAAGAAAGCAAACATTGTAGGAAGCAATAAAAAAAACACACACAGGATTTCAAATAGTGAAAAAAGAAGTGGAAATAACCCGTTACACACTTTGCAAATACGACAACAATTGTGAGAAGGAATCTTCATCTGTTTGGAAGGAGCTGCAAAAATTCACAGAGGTGAGTGGATAAGAAAAAAAATCAGGATGTTGGTTTCAGACATCATTAATTAAACACTATCAGATGATGTAAGAACTTACTGTGAAGTCAAAGCAGCCACAAAGTTCAAATCCTTGATGTCCTGAATATTTTTGACTGAACCTACCCCAAAGCAGTTGAGCTGTAAAAGATAAGAAAAATTGAAAGCATAAATAGTTATATCTTTCAGTGTACAATAGGACACTATAAAGTGCAGTTAGATGTGTGTACAAGTCTGCAAGACAGGCAGAGCACATATATAAGCGATTAACAAAAGCAAGAGGTTAGTGTTTGTTGAAAATTAAATTGATGATATCGCAAAACGGGGACAACTTTTTGAGAGTCTTGCGAGCAATTATGAAGCATGGAATATTTTTCAGCTGGTTCCACGTACAAAGAGGGGAAAATGTCAGTGGGATAACAGCTTAAATGAGTTAAAATAGCTGTTGTCAAGCTCTCCAGGAGCTTGTTTACCGCTCTGGCAACCGCCAAAATTTAGAACTAAATGCACCAGCATTGCGTACAAGCAGACAAGGAACTTACCCATTTCAGAATGAGGCGATGCCATTCCTTTACCATTGCTGTTAAACACTTAAAATTTGTACGTCGACCGTGAAGTTGCACATGCCGTAACCGACAATTCCAAACAAATTCAAACCGAAACGACCTCTTACGGCTTACTCACGGTTGCCAACACTCGCACCCCAAATCAGGATATAATTATGAGTGACTGGTGCAAAAACCAGAAGCTCTTATTATTTAACTCACAAAACAAAGTATTGAAGTTTAGTGTGATACTCTGCTTTCAGTTGCAGGGGGTGAATTGAGGACTGGGTAAATGCAATTTTTACTGGTGCAGTTGGTTTTTGAAGAGGTGAGGGAGGAAGGGAGGAAACGGGGGGAAGCAGAG